AGGAAGCTGTCCACAGATGCCAAAGGGCAGGGGGTGCGCTGTGCTTTGTGGGGGGCTCTGATGGGCCTCCCTGCATGCTGCACACAGTCTTGGCCTGCGCTGCTCACCATGGAGCTTGACCTGGGCCCTTCCAACCTGAGCCCCATCGACGGGAGGGCGCTGCTGGTCAAGGCGACGCTGCTGGCTCTCATCTGCCTCTGCTTCCCATGCAGGAAAAGCAGTGGGCTGCAAGTGCCCCGAGCAAACCTGGGGCCCGAGACATCGCTACGCTTCCCACCAGTGAGAAACACTGGGCAGGAGAGGGCCCAAGCTGAGACGGGAGGAGAAAAAAGAAGGTGGATGAGAAGGAGGCTTCTTGCTACCGTCCTTGAGCAGAGGAGGAGTGGGCACTTCTTCCTCCACTGGAGACTACAGAACCCAAGGAAGTGTGCAGCACCTCTCAGGAAGGCTTGGCAGAGGCGAGCGGTAGAGACTGACTACCTGTGGGGCTGGGGGAGCAGACGCTTCCTCCTCTGATCTCCCCGACACGGGCGCGCCCTGGGAGAGCCCCTGACGCCAATGCCTTTGGTGTGGGCCTGAAGCTCGTTCCACCATGACGAGTTGCTGGGGCCCAAAGGCAGCACGGGTGCAGGGGCTGGGGGAGGGCAGGCTCTGGGGCAGGCAGCATCTTGGAGAGGGTGCACGTGAGAGTTTGTCCGCGCTGTTGCAGTGTCCGGTCACTGCGGGTGAAACAGGTCCTGGCCAACCTGGAGACATACACAACGTGCCGCGAGGAGTGGAGGAAGATGGAGCAAAACAGGCTCCGGACCACCAGTGCCAAGGAGCTGCTCAGGTGCAAATAGCAGCAGTGTTGGGAGGGACTGCCTTCCCCTGACAGCCTGGTGCCATGGAGAGCAGCGCACTCCTGAGGCTGTGCCCTTAAGAGAGAGCTGCCTTCCAGTGCAGGAGATGTCTGGGGGCGGAGGGACACGTGGCTGGGTTCTGCTGGGTCTTGGCTCTCTTTTTCTACCCCAGAAAGACCGTCCTTCCCTTGGTAGAGCACGGGCACCCAGGCATCTTGCCTGGGGGGCCCCTACCTGGCTGGGCCCAGCCCCAGACCAGTGAGCCGCCCATGCGTCATGGCAGTGGAGCTGGGCCCTTGGCCTGGGGGTGTCTCAGAGAGTACAGCAATTCTTTGGGTCCAGACCCTGCTGGAGGTGGGCAGGATGTCTCTCCCCTCTTCTCTGCAGGTCCAGAGCTCCAGAGAAACCAGAGAAAAGCACGAGGCCTTTGTGACAGAGCACAGCAAATAGGCACATTATGGCCGAGTCATACTACGCCCACCCACACCGCAGCAATGACCAACCGTCCTCGGAAATCCGGGAAGAAAACTCTCTAACTCCAGTGTGGTGTTAGAAAGTGGCATTCCTTTATTCCTCACGATACATACCGGGCAACATGACTTGAATTTTGACACTGACATCCCAGGTGGAATAGCTGATGTTACAAACAGCCACTTCCCAGATGGAATAGCTAAGGTTACAAACAACATGATGTTCAAACCGGTTTCTGGGGAGACCTCACTGTGGCCTGCCAGTACTTGAAGGGAGCATACAAACAGGAGGGGGAACGGCTGTTGACCCACGCTAGCTTAACCCGGTAATTTTCCGCTGTTCTCTACGCTCCGAAGCTTCGTATGCAGAGCAAGCAGCTCACAGTCATGGTGGGCAGAAGTGGTTACAATTCCCTGACAGTTGTATAGTTTCTTTCTCCCGTGCATTCTGGAGATGTCGTGGGTTCTCAGCATGTCTTCTCATGCTACTTATTTTTTTTGCTCTGCAGCTTCTGCTCTGACTGGTCTTTCGTCTGTTCCCATGCTCCCAGGCAGGTGACGCTCCTTTGGCCTGCAGCCACAGTGTGAAGGTGAAGCACTGGCCTGCTCTTGTGCTCCACGGGAAGCAGGTGTGCTCCTGCTGCAAGCTCTGGGGGGGCTTTGCTGTTCTCTGGTCTTCTGCTCTGCCCACCGGGTTCTATCCTTCCCTGGCACGGCGGTGGGAGGGCCATCGGCACTTGTGGCAGCAAGAGTGGCACAGAGTTGCTTTCGGACCCCTCCTGCTCCAGCCTGCACGCCCACAGCCCCATCTGTGGGGGGCCCTGGCTCAACACCGGCTCTCTGCCCCTGAGCCAGGACGCGGCAGGAGCTGCCCATGCTTATTGCCGTAGTGGGATCTTCGCTGGTACTCTCCGACGCTCCTTTTCCCACACCTCCCTCCTCTCCTGGAGCTCGCGGTCATACTCCATCCTCCGGATGTAGCCTGGAGGAGTGGGGCAGAGGGATTCCTGGAAAGCAAGAGGGAGTCTTATTCAGCAGCAGGTAAACGCATGGATCTGCCTCCAAAGCAGAGGGGACTGCAGGTAAGGCAGAGGGATTTGGGAAGTCCCCCGGTAGGTGCCAAGGTCAGAGCAGGGCTCACTGTGCTTCCCGGTTAACTGCTGGGAAACTCTTGTTTTCCTTGCGTTTTACAAATGCCTTACCAGGTAATTTCTGCTGTATCTTAAGATCTCCTTTTTCTCTGTTTTGGCAACCTCCCGCTCCCATGCAGCACGTGGTCTCCGCTGTTATGCAAGGGAGAAAAGAACACAAAAAGTACGTTTAGGAAAGTAACAAAAGGACAGCGTTTTGGCTTGAGGTGTCACCAAAGAAGTGCTGCTGCCCACCACTGTGCAGCACTGCACGCTCAGCCTTGTCTCTGACAAGCACATAGCATCGAGGGCTGCATCTTTCTGGCCCTGAAGCCAGAGGAACAAGTTTCTTTCTTTAGTGTTTATGGAAAAAAGCATCTGTGCCCTGCACAGCCCCGTGCCCACACTACTTCTGGTGGGGCCAAGATCCCCCTACCTGGCTCAAGGCTGCCATCCTGGTCTTCCAGTCCTGCAGCTCTGCCCGCTCAGCCCTTTCTTTCTTTTCCTTCTCCTCCAGCATGGCTGCCCGCAGGCGATGTTGCTCTTGCTGCAAACACAGGTAGCAGACCTCCTGGGGACGCAGGCACGCAGTGCATGGAGTTAGTTTAGTATCAAGGCTTGAGGAGCTCCCGTGCTGCGTCCCAAGCCCTCCTGACTGCAGCGTCCTGCTGCTAACGCCATTAAAGTGAAGCCGTGGGGCACCAGCAAGGAGCCTCTTCCTTCCCGCGGTTGCCCCACGTTCCTTATTGTCCTTATTATATACTGTGGCAGGAGACTGATTTGTGTTGGTGACGAGGGACCAGAGAGAGACACTGAGCAGCAATTCACTGCAGTGCAGCGGTGACAAGGGAACTCTGTACCTGTCCTACTCGCTGATGGTCTTTGCAAGCAGGAATTTCAGTTTTCTCCCTGCACTGGCGCACCTTTCTCCTCTTGCCCGCCTTTGAAGAGTTCCCCTCAATTGCTGGTAGCGCACTGAAAACACGAAACAGGCAGAGCTGGGACTCCAGCAAACACACCTGCATCTGCACTGCAGGCACAGGCTGGCAAGCCAGGCACTCGACGCCAGCAGACAGCTGTGCAGCAGTGCCACGCGGTTCCTGGGGCTTTCTGGAGCTGGCATTGCCACCAACCCCCAGCCCATGGGCCTGCTGCCGCCTTCCCACCGCTCACCTGTTTGGGCGCGGGGCTCCCAGTGCTGGCTGTGCTTGGGTGACATCGGCGGGCAGCTCCAGCACTGTCACCGGGGGCAGCCTCCGCTGGGCGTGCTTGCGGCTCCCTGCAGAAAGGAGACAGAAGGGCTCTGAGCTTCCAACCGCAGCTGCGCCTCGGGCAGCTCGAGATGGGAGCGCTCTGCTGTCGGGGTGCTCTCTCAGCAGCAGTCCCGATAGACTTGCAGTCCTGTTCCTAGGCAGCCCGAGGCAAACCCTTTGTCTCGTGCAGCTCTGGCTGCGCAGAGCAGCCCTGTCCTCTGTGTATCCTCAGTATCCTGTGTGCCTCCTCAGGCCCTGTACCCTCGAGCGCCAGAGAGTATCCTTTTTCCTAGGACGCCCCATGGGAAGCAGGAGCTGCCGGGCAGTGCTGCAGCAGGCAGAGCCCCCTGCCTGACCCTGGGGTCATCAACTCTTGCGGGCACTGCGCAGGGACGCTGTCAGTGGCCACTGCATTACAGGGGTTTGGCCATCAGCTCCCAGCTGAATGGGGTCTGAGCACCTCCGCTGGGAGGTTCTGACAATCTCCCCAACACGTTATTCCTCATCGGATGAGGACACGTGGAATCTCTAGGACATACCAACCGCCTTCTGCAACCCGCGGGGCAGAGGTGGGCCTTCGGATGAGGGTGCACAGTCGTTCACCCATTCTCTCTCCAACATAAACACAGCCCGCCTCCAGCACAACAGGGCCCAGCAAGGTGCACCCAGGCACAGAGTGCAGTGGGGACTCAGCAGACCTACTGCAGCCTGGCCACGGTGCTGTCCCGGGGGGGGGGGGGCCTCTTCCACAGCTGGCCCTGGGGACGGAGCCTCTGGGCTCGGCGCATTCAGCCATGTGGGAGACACCCCTCCATTCCAGCGACCACACAGGGCCCTGCCTCCCCTCGCCTGGCACCAAGGGTGCAGGGAAGCCTGGGCCGGGCCTTACCTGCTGCCCTGCCGTCTCCCTCACCCTCCTCAGCTTGACCTTCTTCCCCACGGAGTTTTCGGAGCAGCTTGGCTGACCCCTGGGTGCCAGATGGTGCGTGGGAAAACTCTGTCCTGGAACCAAGGTGAACACAGGGCTGGAGATGACACGGAGCATCCCCGAGCCCCATCACATGCAGCAGCAAAATGCCCACCCGAGGCATGCGGCCCTGGGGCTCTGAAGAGTCGCCAGTGCCACCAACCCTCATCCCGCACCTGCCCCCCACCCTGCTGCTGCCTTCCCACAGCTCACCTCTTTGGACGTGGGGTGCTGGGAGCTGGCCCTCCTTGCAGGGCTTTGGTGGGCAGCGCCGGCAGAGTCAAAGGGGGCAGCCTCCGCTGGGCTGTGGGGTGCTTGCGACTTCCTGCAGGAAGGACACGGGGAGGGCTCTGAGCTTCCAACCTCAGCTGTGACTCGGGCAGCTCGGGATGGGAGCACTCTGCAGCAGCAGTCCCGATAGACTTGCGGTCCTGCTGCTAGGAGGCCTTTGGTCCTGTGGCAGCGCTCAAGGGAAGGAGCACTTGGCAAGGGATGCTTGCGGATGGGGCGGAGTGGGGAAGTGTCCTCCAAGCTCTGCACCTGGGAGGCACAGGTGTTCCTCGGGCAGCCTTGGCCTCCGTCCTCTGGTAGTGCGGAAACCTGCTGGCCCGTGTAGGGACTCATCCATTGCTTTACCTTCTTTCTCCTGATCCTTATACACGTCTTCCCTGACTCCCCCTTCTTCAGCGTCAGACCTGGACTTCAGGCCTGCTAACAGCTGGCTGAAGATACCACTGGACAGAAAGTGAAAGGAAGTGAGGCTGACGGCAGTGTCTCACCCAGACCTGATGTACACCTGCACTCTAGCTGGGAAATGCCATCTGAAGGCCCCTCAGAGCCCATGCAGACAGCGCACCAGCACAGATTCTAACTGCCACGAGGACAAGGTCATGCTTTGCCCGCATCCACCTGCCCACGAGCCTCACTTGTCCATAGGCGTCCTTCTGTGCTTTTGATTCCCTTCTATAGCCCTGTCCCCTTTCTGATGGTGTGGTGGCTGTGTCTTTTGCTGGTGCAGGTACTTATCCTGGTAGCTCCGTGCACCTGTGGAAGAAGACACAGAGCATCTCTGTGTGCATACAGACGTGGGAGGTGCAGACTTGCCTAGCCCCAGCTTAGGACTTGGGCAGTTTTTACCTTCCTTCTCATCGGCTTCCTTGTCAGGGGAGAGCTCTCTGGCTTTTATTTCAGAGGGCAGCTTAATTTTAAACCTAGAAGAAGGAAGAAGACGCATGCTGGAAAAAACTTCCCCTAGCATCCAGAGACAGAGCCCCGCAGGCTGCCCTTAGAGCCACCAAGTCCCTCATCTCCCCAGTTCTCCACAAGGAAAGACTTAGAGGACGTTTCCTCTAACGCAGTGGATGCTTGGGAAGCTGCCTTTTGAAATGCTATTTGCTGTCCCTCAGCCAACAAAAGGAACGAGGAAGCGAGGCTCTGTGGGACAGGGTGCCAGAATTCCTTTCCAGGTCCAACCCATGTCGACAACAGAGCGCAGCCCCTCCTGCACATGGCTCCAGGTGAGGGTGTCCAGAGCATAGGAGAAGAGCGCTCTCATGGAGGTGACACGGAGCCCTTCCTCTAGGGGACCTGGCCTTGGGAGCAGGCAGTGTGCCAGCGTGGCCCTGCCAAACAGCAGCTGAGAAGCCAAGGACTACGCAAGCCCATGTACTCACCCTGGAAGCACACGGATGCCCCCGGGACACACATGGAAAGCAGCCGGTTCCCTGCCTGATAGCACACAGACCTCTGTCTGCGGGTTCTGCAAAGAGGACAGAGATGTGAGGGTGAGGCTGGGAAAGGATCCCCTGTCCCACAGGGCAGCAAGCCTGCCCAGTTCACGGCACGGCTGGCCTGAGAAAAGAGAGGACCTTGGAAAGAGAGCCGCAAGACGTTAGACTTACAGCGAGCAGACACTTCAGCGCAGCTCCTGTCTGATCAACGGCAAGGAGAAACTCCTCACGGTACCTCATTGTGAGGATCCGATTCCGGCTCATGAGAACCCCGATGCCCTTGAAAACAAGGTCGTAGTCCTCTCCCAGCCCTGCGCCCCAGCTGAAGAGGACCACGATGTCATTCACGCACTCCTTCACCAGCTTCTCTGGCAAGGATGTCTTCAGGGACAGCTGGGAATAGTCCAGGGGGACGACTTTGAGATCATCTAGGAAAGAGGAACAGAGTCAGGCAGGCAGCAACACGGCAGGTTGAAATAGGCCCTGAGGAGCCAGTGCTGCACTCCGGGCCAAACCCACAGCACTCTGAAGCCTGCGGGTCAGGTGCAAAGCACCTGCCTGGAGCTGCAGGGAGCTTTGGAGCTGGCAGGAATGCTGCTGTGTTTCTGAACAAGCTCTGGTGCCGACTGCACACAGAGCACCAGTTCCCTGGCAGTTTGGGTAAGAAAAAAAAAAAGCAGCTCCGAAGCATTTCCTCTGCAGGCACTTGTCCTCAACAGGACCATGGGGAGCCCACAACAAGGCAGGTCAGAGGGAGGGATACACTGCACGCAGTGCTGCCGTGAAGCCAGCACCCCCAGACAGACACTCTTTGCACATCTCATATGCAAAGGGTGTGCACCAGGTGAGATGTTCTCCTGGAGAGCAACCGCCAGCTTTCTCGGTCGCTCCTCAACAGCAAATTCACAGGCTGGCACCGCTGCAAGGGTCAGCAAAGCCTGTGCCAAGGCCTTACCAGGAATGTCGCTGTTGGTGTAGATGAGCCCCTGAGCCTGTGCCACTCGTTGTGACAGGTAGAACCTGGGGACAATCATGGGCCTGGTCCCCTCGCAGATGCGCTTTCTCAGGATGTAGAAAGTGCCAAGGACGTCTACGGCCACACCCTGGAACCAGCAGAGAGCAGAGGAACACAGATGTAGGTTTGGATGGACAAACGTGCTCTGCCTGCTCCGGAGGTGCAGAGGAGAAGGAGGGCGCTCCTCCAAAAGCTTTGGGTCAGGGCCACCGATGAGAAGGCCGTGATTCTTTCTCTTTCCCTCATAACACAGAAGGAAAAGAAAAGCCAGACACCTCGGAGCTATGCACAGACTTCAGGGTAGGGCGCTGAGCAATTGCAGAAGCCCTGAGAAGTGCCCCAGGCTTTCTGCTGGCTCCCGCCTTCCAGCAGGGAGGAATGGCAGTGGCCAGGAAGGTCTGAAGCCTCTTCTGGACAAATTCCCCACCGGCACCAGCTGCTGCAGAAGCAGCTGTGTCACACCTCAGTGACCCTCCGGGGGTTTCATCAGAGGGAACGGATGGGGTCGCTCGATGGCCCCGTGGCTGCGGGGACTGCTGACAGCACAGAGATACCAGCACGCAGGAGGAAGGGGAGGGACATCCCACCTTTTTGAGGGCAAACTGCTGAAGCATGTACTCAGATGTACTGTCCCAAATGCTCATGACCTCTGAAAAGCAACAAGAGATGTGTC